TAGGGAGGTAATAGGTCCTTATGAAAGTTTAGTATCGCAACAGCAAATCCGACCAAAGTTGGGGTATTTTTCAGACCCTTATCCCTAAATTATATATTTGAAATTTATCCAATTAAATAAATTTAAACAAGTCATATGATCATGTAAGAGTCCACATAAATTGGGTGTGGTGATTAGTGATGTGCGAGGAAGAATTGTGGTTATACAACCAACATCCTTGGAACAATGTTTGAGAAAACATAAGTATGTTGTGAGGATGTCACTTGTTCAACCACACATTGTTGATTGTCACCCCAAATTTATATGGACTCATACATGATCACATGCTTATGTTGTAAAGATGTTGATTGTATAACCACACATAACTATTCCTCATTCATACGTGTGCATTCTTCACACATTAGTTTGAAGATGTTCATTGTATAACTATAACTCTTTCTCATACATCATTTATCTCCACCCCCAATGTATTTGGACCTTTACATTACTTGTTTAAACTTATTTAATTTAATAAATTCCAATAATATTGTTTATTATTAGTTAATCATTCTCCCTTTTAAATTATACTAGCTACAGTCTATAATTAAGCGTCATACTCCAGTAGGTGCAGTATAGAACATTTATAGATCATGATATCAACATGTATATACCTTATTAGTGTTGAAGTGTAGATGTCGTTGGTACAATCTAAACCAAGCACATGAAAAAATATCGATTGTATTAAATATCTATATAATTTTACCAACAGTGACAATACACAATTATCCAAGTTTTACAACGGTAACAAAGTACAAATTGCTACTTTTCAACGGTAACATTTACTTTTTTAGTGTATTAAAAAGAAGAATTCATGAACTTTTTCATCCTATTCTGTTTTATAATACTTAAACATCTCTTTTTATTATGTCTCAAACATCCAATGCAAAAAAATCTTACGTTTGTCGTTGTGGTAATTTAGCTATGTTGAGCCAATACAAACCCAAGTCGACAATTCTTTAACTGTGCAATTGGTGCATGCTCTTTTTTTAAGTGGCTTGAAAATGATTCATCAATGAGCATCCCATCAAAATTGAGTTCGGAACTCGAGACATCAAATTTTCAAGGCGTTACCAAATTTCAAATATTAGAAAGGGTTCGAAACTCTGAAGAAAATAACCAACCATTTCAAAAACCAATTGTCTTAAACCAACTTCAAAAACCAATTGTCTTACTCATCACCATTTAGCTCACTTAGAAAGTTACTCAACTAAGTATAATTTACTTAGGAAGTCACTCATCAGTTTTATTTCATAACCCAAAAGTCAGTCAATTTATGATAGTTTACTTAGAAAGTCACTTATCTATTGATATTTTACCTAAAAAAAAATCACCTAATCAATTTTCATAAGGAAATAATTTGAACAAACAGAATGATTTAAAATAAGGAAATTTTCATATAGGTTTTTTTAAAGTAAAAAAGGAGAAAATGGTCTAAAACCCCCCTAATCTTTTACCCAATTCTCAACTACACACTTATTCTTTACGGGGGTCCTATTACCCCCTGAACATTTTAAAAGTATAATATAGATCCCACGCCCAGATTTATATGAAAAAGTGAATTGCACGCGCCCTGCCACGTAATATTACCTTTTTTAAAAAAAAAAATCCTTTATTCTGCAATTATTTTTCATCTATATTTCCCTCTTTCACTTTCCTTTTCCATTACTCTTTTATTTTGATCTGACAAATTAATTTTTCAGATTTGAGGATACATTCAATTATAGTCACCATCATCTTCGAGCTTCACCGGAGTTATAAACACTAGAAAACTTTTGATGCTCTCTATTGAAGCTAGAATAAAACAATGCTGAGAAACCCATTTCGATTATTGGGTGTTTTCCATTTAATGGGTTTTTCACCCAATGATTTCATTGATGAATTCTACTCCATTGATGGATCAACTACTTGATGATTTTTTCTCCATTAATGACTCTAAATTTCGATCCTCTTGACTTTTGGTTTTGGTTTTATCGCACTAATGAGAAGTAAATTTACTGTGAGAAATTTGTGATTTGAGACTGAAAGTTACCTTAATTAATGATGAGAGGTTAGTGAGGGCGGCGACCTGGTGGCGGAGCAAAGCCGCCGCCGTTGACTTTCAATTTTGATTTTGAGTTATTATCAATTTTTCCCACTGATTAGAAGTGAATTTATTGTGAGAAATTTGTGATTTGAGAATAAAAGTTAACTTAATAATGAACGGTTGGTGAGGGCGACGACCTAGTGGTAGAGTAGAGCCGCCGCCGATGTTGCTTTGACGAAGAGAAGAACAAAGACGATAAAAAGCAATCGATGTTGCTTTGACGAAGAGAAGAACAAAGACGATAAAAAGCAGCCGATGTTTCTTTGATGAAGAGGAGAAGAAAGACGATTAAAAAAAATTAAAGGAAACTTGAAGATTTTTGAAGAATAAAAAAATTATAATATGAAATATAAGAAATACTTTTAAAATTAAAGTTTTAATTATTATTTTTACCTCTCAACTACACTTTCTTTGCCACCTCATTATTTAGGGAGCAAATAATTCTACGTTAAAATAGTGTAAGGGGGTAATAGGACTCTCGTAATAAATAAGTGTGTAGTTGAGATTTCGGGTATAGATTGAGGGGGTTTTAGACCATTTTCTCCGTAAAAAAGTAATAATATGTCTAAGTATCATGAGTTATTACCTAAAATTCCCTAAAATAAAAGGATCTAGGTGAATATATATTTGATCATAATTTTAGCTAAGCGGATCAACAAAATACTTAAAATGGGTATTTTATTGTTTTTAATTAAAAATTTAGCTTAAAAGAATTTTTTTATTTTAACAAAATTTAGTGAAAATTATTTAAATTGATTGAGTGACTTTCTAAGTGAAATATCAATAGCTGAGTGACTTTCTAAGTAGACTATCCAACAAAGTTGAGTAACTTTTTAAGTGAACTATTCTAAGTTGAGTAACCACCCAAAGTTCAGATTTTTTCCGCAATTTTACCGCATCTACATAGCTGCATTTTTCAGTTTAATGTAATTTAGCTTTATCATCTTTAGGCTTATACATGCTTTGCCCGTGAAATAGAAGTATGATTAAAAGTTTGAAACTACTCAAATCTGCATTTGATATGCTTACTAAAAAATGCCGTTAAAATACACCTTTGTTCCCATAAATTTATGGATCTTCTACACAATGTTCTTCAACTTATAGACCTACTCTTTTTCTTTCCAAGCAATTACACCTTCTGTCCCAAGTGTCTTACCTTCTTTTTTTTTTGGTATATCCCAGAAAAAGTGCATTATCTTATATTTGGTAAGTTTTTCAATTTCAACATTCTACTGACAAGTATAATTAAAATCACAAGATTCAAAAGTCTTCATTTATTTCTTAAATTTCGTGTCCATTCAAACTAAAATACTCAAATAGAGATGAAGGGAGTAAAATAAGAAAACAGACCAAGAGAAAAGTCCTAGCAATGGTAGCGTAAGCAGAGGCGGATCCACATTGATCTATGAGGGTGCACGTGCATCCGGTAACTTTTCAAAAAAATTTATATATATATACCTTAAGTAAGGGTTATATATTTAACTGTGCACTTCAATAACCAAAAACTCATCCAGGTGAATTGGTCAAAGCCGCAACTATTATCAGTAAACACAAAACATACGAATTTTTTACAAAATTCAACCAAAGAAACATACTTCAAGTGTTTTTATTCTTATACTTCATAAATTTTACTCTATACTTATTTTATACAATACACAATTTGATAAATGTATATTTAT